CAACAGTTTCTTTCCTCAGTGTCAGTATAGGGCTCACGTTCATGTGTCGTGCTTTTGCTGTAATACCTCGGATGCAAGTCATGCGAAGAAGTTGCACATGTGTATCCGGGAGGTTTATGTCACTGCAAAGTGCTTGTGAACGTGTGAACGAAGCTGATTCTAAAGTGCAATTGTCTAAATTGTTGAGTGCTTTCATTCATTATTTTTCCCTCGGCTTAGTCCCTATATTCGTCAGAATCGCCACAGCGGAATGAACCACCAACTTATCCAGCATATGTTTTACACAGCGTATGCCCTTCCAGCTGCAATTCAGTACTAGGAAACACCCATTCACTTTGATTCACACACATACACTACGACCAATTTTAGTTTATTTAGTTCACCTATAGAGCATGTCTTTAGACTCTGGGGGAAACCGGAGCGCCCAGAGGAAACCCACGCCAACACAGGGAAAATATGCAAACTCCACACAGAAACACTCACTGAATCACCCGGGCTGCAAACCAGCGACCTTCTTGCTGTGAGGCAACAGTGCTAACCACTGAGCCACCGTGTCACCCTGTTGAGTGCTTTATAAGAAAAAAATATATTGTAATGAAGCTGATAGCCTTCTGGCCGTGAGGAAGGAGGCGGAGAACAGACAAACTTTTAAATAATTTTAATGAAAAATCAAACAAACTGACAAAAACAAACTAAAACCCAAAGCGAAACATAAAATGTCCAGGCCTGGTCCTCTCTTGTCTTTCACTGCTGTCTCTCCTCCTTTTAACATCCAGAGCTCCTCTGTGAGACTCGAGACAGGGGATGCATGCAGATGTCTAGCACTCACGCCATACTAGCACTTGTATGCCCTCATGGCTCTCAGTCCGCCTCATTTGATATATATATATATATATATATATATATATATATATATATATATATATATATATATATATTTAATTTACACAATATTTAAGTGGAAGCAAGTGTAAATATTGAAAAATAGGAGAGATACGACACTGCAGAACCACATTATATTCAGCTTTCTCTCTCTGGATGTAATGGATGGAGTTATGTTTAGCTCTAGGATTATGGTGTGTTTGGACTGACTAGATCCACCCATAAAATAAGGACATTTTTCCTTATTCCTCATTGTTCTCCCCTGAAACAAAAACAGGCATCAATCAGGTTTACTGCTTTAATACTTGCACAAACAACATATAAAGAAAAGCGATATGTGAAAATTAAAATATGGAAATTTAAGAATTTATATTAGCAGTCTCCAAACCTTGTCATTTTGTTGAATTGCAGTGCACTGTGCTGTACTGAATGGCTCTGGTAATTATTTTTTTAACTCTTTATTTCATTTTCATAGAAAAAACCTTCATACATATAGTACTGCCTACATTCTTACAAGAAAGAGATGGACCATATATCAAAGTACTCTTGGAAGTACTCACAGTGAATTTAGCTTACAACAAATTTAGCTTAACTCCCACCCATCTGTCACTAATCAAAATATTTATGGAAGGTTCATAAACAATAAAATCAAAGGCATACATGAATAACATTTACAATCATAGTATGACCCTGGCTGGAACAAAAATTATGAATTGAAGCAAGGTGTACATGGAAAATAAATAAATAATGAAATAAAATTAATAAATAAATTAACATAAAATAGTCTTGTAAAAGTCTATAAGTTCAGTCTATCTGCAAAAATAATATAAATGGTCCCCAAATCTTGTTAAAAATGGACAATTTGTCACTTAATGTGAATCTCAGTTCTTCTAAGTGTAACATATTTCCAAGTTCTCTAGCCCACATTTCAAAGGTGGGGACAGCATCAGATTTCCACATTTATAAAATGAGCTTTTTTGCAATACACATACAGAATAGAATTGCTCGTGTTTGGTTTCTACTGTAAGAACTGTCCTCTGCCCCTTAAAGTCCAATACAGGATCAGCAGATTCCAGATATTAAACATATTTTTCAGGGGTGCATTTCCCAAATAACGACGTAACTCGCAACTGAACTATAATAGTATGCGTTTGGGAAAATGATGTAGTGACGAGTGTTTCTCAAAACCGTTGTTTCTCTGTTGCAGATTTATCATTTGAACCACGTTAGTTATAATGTAAATCACCCATAATGATGCGCTAAACAGGGTGGTAACAACTTCTTAAGAGCAAAACCCCATAATTTATTTGTGCGAATGATATTGTTTTAAACGCACACGCATAAAAACTCGCTTTCCATATTAATTGAAATATATGGCACATGTAGGGCCTGTGTTTCCTTTACAAATAATATTGAGAACATTACATATTATATTCTAAAACATAAAACCACTTAGCTAACACGTATTCTAATCTCATATAAATCATACAAATAAATAATGAGGCATTTATTAAGAAATAAATTTTTATATTTATTGATAGGGAATGAAAACATCCTACTTTAATAATAATATTACTAATAATAATGATTGTTATTATTATTACTATTATTAACATTATTAAGTAAGATATTGTTTATTTATTTATTTAAAAAGTCTTATACTTTTACAATTTGACATATGCAAACCACTCCAGAAATGGAGAATACACTACAGATACTTATTAAATAACCTACTATAAATTAAAAGCATTAACATATGCCATGTTTTTTGTTTTCACAAGCTTTGGAGAGGTAACTAAAATTCAGCTTTAATAATATGATACCTATAGCTTTCGTCATGAGGCTGTGTTCAAAATGACATCATGTTTTCTAAGTGCACTGCGAAGGGAGCGCAATTGTAAACATGAAGATTGCTAAAACAGAACTGTAAAATACTTTGAAAGCAAATTACACCTAAGAGAGATGACTTTAATGCTTTTTTTTCCTTTTTATAATTCCAAGTTTAAGTGTTAGAATGTTCTAAATAATTAGGGCATAGGACGGGTAACTGGCAATACAACACAGCCAGGAACTATGTGTCTAACTACAGCTCCAGTGTTGTAATTACAAGCATAGACGTTTGCGATGTAGTTTGCGAATGTTTGATGCAAAGATGGATTTGGGAAATGCCAAATCAACACACTATGTAACGATGCAACTTGCGACTTTAGTTGGCTAACCATGGTTTTTGGAAACGCACCCCAGAAGGGTTGTTTGTAGTTTACTGCAAGACCACAAAGAATGAAACAGAGTTCCTGTTGACACATTGCACTTATTACAACATGAAGAGATTGTTGGGAATATTTATGGTACATAAAAAAATAAAAAATGCTTTTATTCTAGCCGCAATAAAACAAATAAGACTTTCTCCAGAGGAAAAAATATTATCAGAAATACCGTGAAAACATCCTTGCTCTTATAAACGTTATTTGGGAATTATTTAAAAAAAGAAAAAAAAATCAGAGGGGGCTAATAATTCTGACTTTAACTGTATATATGGTTTAAAATATTGCACATGTGCACATGAAGGAGATGCGATCACAGTACGGTTGTTGTAGTAACAGTAGTTGTACCGAGTATTATTATTATTATTATTTATTAAATTACACAATAAATGTGGTGTGATGTGGGCGGAGCTTCTGTGTGTAACCGCTGAGAAATAAAGTTTGTTTTGGACCGAAATAAAATACATTTTCAAAGTAACGTATATCCTCGAGTATTTAGACTTGTTCATATGAGTTTGAGGAGTTTTTGCTGTCGGAAACAGGGTTTTATCAGGGTTATTTTTATCATCAACTTTACCTCAATCGATTTAAATCGTTCTCAGGTAAGATTTGTTTAATATTTTGTAGTTTCAAATGTAAGTAATTGACGGTGAGCGCTTGTGTTTTCATTTAAACATGATATTATAGTGTACATCAAATTAAACCTCTTGACCTGTCTTATCAAACTCTATTTACAAGGCAAATACAGTTGAAGTAAGGTAATGCTAAGATTAATAAAAGGGCATGTCTTAATGAGCGAACAATCATTCAAAAGACTCATTGAAGGAGTTAAAATAAAATAAACACAAACAGTGTCCAAAACTGCTCACTCATTCAGTCATACTAATGCCTGAACCAACAAAGGGAAACGTCAAATATCTGCAAATCTAAATTAGACACAGACACACTGTTTTCTTACCTTCCTGTTTGGCTTTATTAATTGCTTGTTTAATAGTGTTTGTTTTGTTATTTAACAACAAAGAACAAAAACATCATCTTGTTGTGTGTATTTACTAATTAATTAATTATATTTATTAATTAACTACTAAATTATATATAATAATAAACTGATAACAACACTATTTGTCACATTTATTTCTTTAATAAAGCCTAAAATATACATTAATGTATGGTGTAAATTGTGAATAAATAGACATCTTTTATTACGTCACTGTCTCTGTTGGATTTTCAGAAAAGCCTAAAAATGCTCTCTGAAATACACTTTTCACTTTTTTAAATAGGAATGAGAATTCAAACTGGTCAAAAAAGGCACTTATCTAGTAGGAGTAGGAGCACTTAGGGTCTATCTCTACTCATGTCTGAGTGTCTGTAAGTTATTTTAATAATATTAAACATGGCAGTTCTTGGTTTAATAGGTTGCAGAGGAAATAAACATGGAGAATGTGATGCGACTGAGAGCAGAACAAACCTACAAGTACAAGTAGCGAGCGGATTCTTGCTTGTTTGTTGACGGATGTTTCTGAATATTCACAGCAGAGATCTTGATATGGATTAAAGGGTTCATGACATGGATTGGTTTTATTTTAATATTTTCCTAGGTGTTCACATAAAAAAGAAATTGTTTCACTCCTTCATCATCTTATTTGATTAAAATAGTTCCAGTTTTGCCAATAAACAGATTTGCAGAAGTATCTGTATTTATATAATCAATATAAAACAGTCATTCACAGTTAATCAGCAGTCTGAGATGTTTTAACCGTCTGTTTATTTCTGATGCTGGGATTCTCCTGATGTTTGACACAAATGAGCTGTTTAAAGTTTCTCTCTTTGTTCTGTTGTTTAGCAGACTCAAGCGTATGGAGAACATTAGACACTGGACACATATACCACATCCACAGCAGACATCTTCAGTGATTTTCATCGCTTGTATTTATTTTCAGAGGAAATGCAGGTAAAAAACAACTATTATTCATTTTAGAGTGTGTTCTTGATAAACATTAAAGCATTTCTGTTTATTAACACTCCTGTTAACACTGACTGTGGCTAATAAAATGAGTTACACATCAAATCAAAAACCAGGGGTCCGTTCTTTAAACCTCGCTTAAATGATCTAAGATGATTTTGCCGATTCTGGATCTTTTAATCTTGATAACTGATGTCTGGCTAATTTGGTTCTTCAAACAAGTTCGTGAATTAGATTAGAATGTGTGGATGAACTGATCTGAGATCGCTGCGTGTGTTGTGAAGGACAAATCTATCGGTTCTCGAAATCATGATCAGCAATGCAACGATTGGCTGACGGCACAGCAGCGTAATGACATCATCTGATTAATATTCAATTATCCATGTGAGCAAAATTACATCAAATTAGCAGTAAACGGCTTGTTAAATATGACACGCAATAACTTTCCACATATGTTGTGAACTGCAGGCTTTACACTTTCATGTGTCAAGAGTATTTATCATGTATTTCAATGCATATCAATGTATTTAGTTCTACATTTAGAAAATATTTTCTTTATTCCAGTAGCCGTTTTTTTAATCGCTGTATGGAATAACTGGATGTTTACAAAAGCATTTTGATATTGGTAAAGGCGTCTGCAACTTTTGTGAAGCATAATCACTGGCATATTAACTGTCAAAACATGTTCATGACTGCATTAAAGTATTATTTCTTTTTTTTTTTAAAAAGTCACATATTCTGCATTTCTATTATCATACACAAATTGTACTAAAGCGATCTAAAAAGTTCATTTCATTAAATTTTCTCTTTGTACTTTCATTTCGAGGGTGCAGATTGCATAAGTTTTGTTAATATAACTTTATTTATTAATAACTATAACTTTATATATATATAGTTAATTTTTTAAAACTATTTTCCCAAGTGTATATAACTTCTACTGTAGGAAAATATCATAATTTGGTACTTTCTCTATTATCTTTGCTTAACTGAGCCGATCTAATCCTGTTTATATGAATTGAACCTGCTTCCGATCAGGTTTGAGCTAGCAGAACTGTTGCTATGACAACAACTCTTAGATCAGCTTTGAAGAACGAAACGATCCTGGATCGTGTCAAATCGTCAATATCCAAATCCAGCTAACTGAGTAATCCATGTACGAAGAACGGACCCTGATTTCTTTGTATTTCCATTGCTATGACTGAACTTTAAATAGATTTACATTTAGCAGACGCTTTTATCCAAAGCATGAAGATAACAGAAGCACTTCAGATCACCAGAAAACAACAAGATGTAGATGCAGTGACAAGTCTTAAGCCCTGGTCAGAGCACAGAATTTTTATTGTCGGTTATGAAAGTCACTCTCTCAGATTATGCAATTTTTATTCATTTGTTCTTGATTTGTCATGGGTAACAAATGTGCCAGACTACACATTCCTTCACGATCAGTCATCACGTGATGTCTACGACAAGCGTTATTTCCAAAAGCAGTGACGAGTGTTGCTATAACAATATTTCTTATCTCAATTTTTTTATTTTTTATTATTTCAATTTCAATAAACACTGATGCTTACAGACAACTAACTACAATCTTGCATAACCAATGATTGATCTTATCCCCCTGTGACCAACTCATTACGGCAGCACCCGCTGATTTAACCGAGAAATGGTGTGCTCCTATTGCACAGTCTCACCCATGTGACGAAACTTGTGATGAACGAGAAAAAAATTAAACATGCTTGACTTTCTGCGATAGTGTCATGAGGTGTGGCAAGCATGGTATCAGTTGTCGTGAACTATCCCACATTATACGAGAAGAAACATTTGAATCTTGTGTCACGATGCCTATTTGATGTTTACGAATCCCCACGACACCCTACATCAAGGAAATCGTGCCGAAATCATGACAAATCCGCGTGATCTGACCAGGGCTTCAGTTATTTTAGCAGTGTGTGTATTTGTATTATTATTCTGAAATGAACAAAGAAGCAGGACAACAGATTAAAGAGTTGAAGAATACAATAAGGAGTGCTGTTATTGAATGATTAAGTGCTGCTGAAACAGATCAGGGCTCAGTGGTTAGCACTGTCACCTTACAGCAAGAAGGTTGCTGGTTCGAGTCCTGGCTGGGCCAGTTGGCATTTCTGTGTGGAGTTTGCATGTTTTCCCTGTGTTCTATGGGTTTCCTCCGAGTGCTCCAGTTTCCCCCACAGTCCTGACACATGCAGTATAAGTGAACTGAATTAACTAAATTGGCCATAGTGAATGAGTGTGTGAATGAGAGTGTATGGGTGTTTCCCAGCATGGTGCTGTGTTGCGGCTGGAAGGGAAGCATTTTTACAGTGCATTTGTTCTTAAATGCCAAAAATTCCATCACATGTATGCTTGTACATCAAACACATTCAGCTCAGTAGCGTTAAATCCAGATAATCTGTGTTAAATCTACAAACGTTGTCATGTTTGTTTCTGAATGATCTCATTTGAAACACAGTAATCAGCAGTAATCAGCATTTAAAAATTGAAGAAGCACTTATTTTTGACAAATGTGACTTTATTTCAAACTTTAGTACAAAATTCATCATTGTCATCAGTTGTGAGGCTTGTCGCCCCAGACTAATGTCAGTTTTTGTCCGTGTTCAGCTCAGCACCACCTTCAAGATGGGCAGTTTCCAGTGGCACCACGTGGAGGAACGGACATCGCCACCTATATATACAGGGTTTGGATTATCACTCACCATGAACTACAACTACACACTAAATCACTAGTCAATAAATGATGTCCTCCAACCATAAATCATATACCACATTAGCAAAACATTAGACTAGAGAAGGTTGTATATGAGGACAATATTAAAGCAAATACTAAAGGTAGTAACTTTATTCCTCTTCAGAACACAAATGAAGATATTTTAGTTAAATCTGAGAGCTCCTTAATCTCTCATAGACAGCAAGATTCCTGACTATGAGAATACTTTTATGTGCACATAAAACAAAAATAACTTATTCAACAGTTTCTTCCCTCAGTGTCAGTATAGGGCGCGCGTTCACGTGTTGCGCCTCTGACATATAACCTTGGATGCGCCTGTGAAGTTTTTAAGAGAGGAAGTCAGAGAGGAAGTCGCACAGGCATCCGTGGGGTATATGTCACTGCACAGTGCTTGTGAACGCGTGCCCTATAATCACACTGAGGAGAAGAAACTGTGAATAAAAATGTTTGTTTTATGTGAAGGCGTATGATCTGTTTTGAGGATGTTTTTTACTGTTTTTGTGGACTTTGAGTCTGGATGAGGGAGCTCTAAAATAAAAATAAAAATAGTTAAAATAGTTCTGATGAACATGAGGATGAGTAATAAATAACATAACTTACTTTTTTAATGTTTTATTTAAATTTTTTTTTGTTTCTAGAAGAATTTCTGATTGGTCAATAACATATAAATATATAAAGTTTTAGATTTTTGTTTCAATGTAGGCAGTTTTTATAGTTTTATTTATTAATGGTGTTTTTTATTTTTTTTACTTTTTTATTGTTTTATTTATTAATTATGTTTTTTATTTATTTATTTTTTTTACTTTTTATAGTTTTATTTATTAATGATGTTTTTTATTTTATCAGGAGTCTCTCTCCTCTGGCTCAAATTACATTTCTTAGAGAGAGACACTCAAAATATATGGGCCTGAACTGGGAACGACACATAAAACAAAAATAACTTTATTCAATAGTTTCTTCCCTCAGTGTCAGTATAGGGCACGCGTTCACGTGTTGCGCCTCTGACATATAACCTTGGATGTGCCTGTGAAGTTTTTAAGAGAGGAAGTCAGAGAGGAAGTCGCGCAGGCATCCAGGGGGATATATGTCACAGCACAGTTCTTGTGAACGCGTGCCCTATAATCACACTGAGGAGAAGAAACTGTGAATAAAAATGTTTATTTTTAACTTTTTCATTGTTTTATCTATTAATGATGTTTTTTATTTTATTATGTTTTATTGTTTTATTTATTAATGATGTTTTTTATTTTATTATCTTTTACTTTTTATTGTTTTATTTATTAATGATATTTTTTTATTATTATTTTTGACTTTTTATTGTTTTATTAATGATATTTTTTATTTTATTATTTTTTACTTATTGTTTTATTTATTAATGATGTTTTTTATTTTATTAATTTTTACTTTTTATTGTTTTATTTTATTAATTGTTTTTCTAGTTTTTTTTTTTCTTTTTTCTTCAAATTGGCTGGTGAGTGATAATGTTCATTGGAAACCCTGTATATATATCAGTTGATCCCAGTAGTCTTTGGTCAGGAGTCTCTCTCCTCTGGCTCAAATGATATTTTTTAGAGAGAGACACCCAAAATGTATGGACCTGGACTGGGAACGACTGAGGTATTTATTTTTATATATATTTCAATTAGACATTTTATTTTAGCATGTGGAAGTGCAAGATATGGTATTACAGTGTGGGAAGGGCTATGTACACTATATGAAGGTTTAAACTTCATCTTTTTTTTTTTTTTTTTTACATGGAATTTAATTAGAGCCAGTGTAAATGTTACAATAAGAGCTATGACACTGCAGAACCAAATTATGTTCAGCTTTCTGTGAATCAAGTCATGTTTAGCTAAAGGACTATGTTGTTGAGGTTGGCTCACAATCCTCTGCTTCTTCTTTTATGGTTGGAGGTGCTGGAGTTTTTAGCCGAATCCAGCACTGAACTGGGAGAGATTCTGGAAACTGTCCTTTGTCAAATGCTAGATCTTTTTTATAATTCTCTGGAACATATTAAAATTAAATTGTTAAAAAAAAGAACATTTAAGAACACAAGACTGTCGTCTGACACTAGCTGGGTTTCCATCAGCCTGTGTTGATGCACCTTTTCAAGTATCACATGAGAAACAAGTTTAAATAAGAATCTCTTAATTCACAAAATGTTTTATGCTCACTTGAGGTCATTTTGGATTTGTGTGAAAAAGGGTTCATGATGGAAATGCATTTGTCAATGGAACTTTGATTTTTCAATTAAACTCCCCTTGTTTACTGTTGGTTACGAGGTTACCAATACTACAGTTCAGCTGCTCGACCAACTTAATGGAAATCATTTGCTCATAATTCACATTTATAATTACAAAATATATATTTAGTGAAATTTGAAAAGATGTGCTTCACATTATAATGGAAACTCAGCTCATGACAGATTCATTTGACTGATGACAAAATCCTTTAAAGTCTTTTCATTACCTTAAACCAGGCATGGGCACGGAGTGCATTCAGCTTTTGCCGAAGACTGGGGTTAGTTTGCAGACAACAGCTGAAGAAATCACAGCATTCTGTGTAGAAAAAAAGGAAGAGATACATTTAATTAATACCTTAAAGTTTAAATATGTTTTTTTCATTGACATTCAAATTGTCCTACATAACCATCTTTAGCTGAAGTGGAGATCTCACCTTCTGACCTTCCATATTGGTAATAATTTTTGTTTTTCATCCTGCGGAGGTCACGCTTTTCTGGAAATTTTTTATACATTAGCAAAAACTGAAGAAGCCCGAGTGACCACACTGTTGCTGGCTCTCCGTAGTAATAGCCAATCTTTTTTATCTCAGGAGGCATGAACTGCACTGTGCCTGAAAGAAAGAGATTTTCATTAGCACAACATCTAAATTTTCTTTCGAAAATGTAAACAATAGTATAGATTAAGGGTGCTCAAACCCGGTTCTGGAGGATTTGTGTGCTGCAGAGTTTAGCTTCAACCCCACTAAGACACACCTGAACAAGCTAATCAAGCTCTTGCTAATTATTCTAGACATTTTCTGTCAGGTGTGTTGAAGCAAGTTGGAGCTAAACTCTGTAGGCCACCAGCCCGCTAGGACTGAGCTTTGGCACTCCTGGTATAGATAAACAACATCAGATGTTTTAAGAGCCTCATCACAAGAGCTCCTTAGAGCTTTGAGGGATTTACATACCCAAATAGGTTATGTAATAGTCCTCAGTAAGGGGAACACCACAACCAAAGTCAATCAGTTTAACTTCAAAGGTCTGTGGGTTCATCAGCAAGTTGTCAGGCTTGATATCACGGTGAAACACTCCACGTTTGAGGCATGTGTCAGCTGCAATTGTTGTGTGGAACATGATTTTCCTTAACACGTCCTCTGGGATCCTGCCTTCATGGTCTCTTAAAAAATCACCCACACTCACACAGGGTGTGGGCCGCTCTAGGACCATAAAGTAGCGATCAGCCTCCACCTTCCAGTCCAGAAGCTGAACGAGTTCTTTAACCTCGGGGCCTTTAGTGGCAAGAAAGTGCAGAGCGATCTCCGCTGGAAGTAGCTGGTCAAAATCATCCTAGAAGAAAAACAGTTGTTAAGATCATTGGATGGAAAAGTTATTTCCTGTTAAAACTGTTGGTGACGTCTAACATAAAAACCAGTGGGCAGATTATAGAGAGCAAAACAAAGACAGACACATTTTCAAAGGAGATTAACTGACACTTAGCATGTTTCTAAAATATCTGCAAACATATTATGGTATTTTTGTGCTCTAAAAGAGTCAAAAACTTACATACAGCACCTTTAATATGACATGTTTAAAATAGAAACAGTTAATCAGAGCAAAGAGCACAGACTACTTACAACACGGAAGAGTCGCTTAGGCTTGAAATTTGCAATTTTTACTGCCACCCGAAGGCCATCTTGTAAACGGGTCGCTGCGAAAACGGTTCCATAGCCTCCTTTGCCCAGCTCAGCACCGATTTCATAGCGATGTGAGTTGATCTCTGTGAAAAGAGAAAGAAGAGAAGTTAATCAAATGTGAGAATTAGTGACAGTGCTACCTTTATCTAAAACTACCTGCTTCATCAGGGGTCAGAACAACAGAATTAACCCCATCATCTAAAACCTTTTTTAGTTTTGTCTTCCCTATATATATGATTTTGATTTTTATGATTTATATATATATATATATTTCCATCTCAGTTTATCAGCTATCCCTGAACAAAATCTGTATTGAAGACAGTTTATAGCATAAAAGTCATTTAAAACTATTAAAATGTGCATGTGTGTTGGGTGACTGAGGTGTCATGATAGTAAACTTACCAATGATGTTTGTGTCTTTATTCTTCTTTTTTGGTGGAACAGCGCCCTCTGTCTGACAGGTTGCACTTTTGCCAACATCTTTACAGCCAAGCTTAGCCGAGACCACATTTGGAGGGTCATCATGACTACAGCCGGGCTTAGCCGAGACCACATTTGGAGGGTCATCATGACTACAGCCGGGCTTAGCCGAGACCACATTTGGAGGGTCATCATGACTACAGCCAGGCTTAGCCGAGACCACATTTGGAGGGTCATCATGACTACAGCCGGGCTTAGCAGACTTGCTGGCTTGTTCTTCACCGGGAACACTGTCAGGCTCTACCAGTGATTGTTCTTCACCGGGAACAGTGACAGGCTCTACCAGTGATGGTTCTTCACTCTGACCATCAACAGGTTCCTCCAGTGACGGTTCCTCAGTCTGAACCTTGATCTGTTCCTTCAGATGCAAAGATGATTCTTCACACCAGTCACCGATTTTTCGACCTGAAGGAAGGAACAATATGAAACAAAATATTTCAGTTTTACTTGAATAATATTTATCCAGTGTTTATTATTGATATGAACAATGCTGTCAGTTATTAAGTGACTTTTAAGGTATTTTTTTTCTACTTTTAGTTGTTGATAACCCTAAGCTTGGAAAAAACAACTAAAAACTATGAGAAAAGTTTTCATGTTTTCCACTACAAAAACCATTAAAACATTAAATATCAGCATTTGTTATCCATTAAAACCACTGCATTGTGTTTTAGGACATATTCCTGAAGGATTTAGGGGTTTAGGACTAAAAATTACAAGCAGAGACAAGGGATCTAACAGGGGTGTCGAGCTCAAATCACAGTGAGGGTTTTAATATTTTATTTGTTAATTTTGTATGGCAGTAAACAATATTTCTGTTCATTTTCATAACAAATTATAATGTTTTAGGCAGATCTTAGAGCTCCTTCATCCTCCATTGATAGCGTGGGTCCAGACTCAATCAAAGGCCAGAAACATCCAAACAACAGAGTGCCATGCACAGGCATCCAGGGCTTTTATCAGTGCAAAGTGCTTGTGAATGTGAACGCATGTAATATACCAACACTGAAGAGAATAAACTGTTAGATAAATTTGTTTACACAAAAGTATTCTTGTAGCTTGATAATATACTGACTGAACCACTGTAGGCATTTGGTCTGTTTGAGGAAGTTTTGTGGTATTTTTATGTACTTTGAGCAAGTCAGGAACCTTGCTGTATATGCAGGATGAGAGAGCTTTCAGAAACATCTTCATTTGTGTTCAGAAGATGGAAGACGGTCTCAGGGGTTTGGAGTGACATAAGGGTGAGTAATTAATTACAGAATTTGCATTTTTGGGTGAACAAACCCTTCCATCTTGAAGCAGAGAAAATGATTTTGTATTTACGGATTACGAATGCATAATGGAAAAACTATGCAAAGCAGAAATACTTTACTCAGTTTGTCTAAAACATGACATCAAGAAGCATTTTCTTGACAAGTAAAAATACTGTCTTGTTTTCAGAAATGTACAAATGAACTGAGGTTTTCTTAAAACAAGCTAAATAATCTGCCAGAGGGGAAGTCAAATGTATTTCAAAGCATTATTTTGCTTTATGGATGGCAGATAATTTTAGTATTTTAAGGGTAAAAATAACTTAATTTTTAACTTATTATTTCTAAAAACCAGACAATATTTTTGCCTGTCTAGAAAAAAGACTCTTTATTTAAGAATTTTGAGATATCTGGATTAGAAACCAGACAAAGCTATTATTTTATATTATTGTTGGCACCATATTAGCCACGTTTGTGTGACGAATGTTTGACACCACATGTGATTAAAACAGAGCAGTTTTTATAAGGCCAGTATTATTATTCACTTAAAAAATAATTTTTACATTAAGGTAAATCAGTGTAGAGCCCTACACAGACTCCAGCATCCAAAATGAGCTACATGTTCTTATAACACAAAACATTATTTACCATCACTGGTGGCCACGTTGGATCCCGTGACCAATCCTTCTTGACGGTCGAAGTTTTTATCTTGACCTGAGACGGTGGAATTGATGTTTCTTTTTCTCAGGAAGAGAGAAATAACTCCGAGTACGGTAAATAACATTTTTGGTTTAATTTCCGTACACTTAAATATGAGAAATCAATTGACGATACAAGAAAAGCAAATTATTCAAAGCGAACTTTGTACAACTCAACTAGACAATTTTCAAGTAAGAGTAATGGCGAATGTGGAATGTAAGAGGTGTCTAGTAAGAATTCGAATGTGTTCCAGCGTTTCCCAGCCAACTGATACGTGATTGGTCAGTTTTGCGCTGTGTATTTTTAATCTTCTCTAGTTAGCGGTTGTGTGTTTCCTTCACGGGTGTTTTTGGAGCAAAATAAACAGATTTTTCAGGAAATCTTTGTTTGACTCGTAAATATTTCCTGTTTGATGAATCATTACTGGTCTTTTAGTGAACTCGAGATTCGTTTTTAATCAGAGTCGTGTAAATACATGTACAGGTAAGATTTGTCTTAGCATTTATTTTGTAACGTTACTTCAAATGTAAGTTTTTTGCGATAAGCGCTTGTATACAAATTAAACACGAGATATGATCGTGTATTTCTATTAAAATCAGCAGATCTGCATCGTCAAACTCCATCTAATGTTATCCTGCAAATACAGAAGTAACGTTAATGTGATGCTGAGATTAATAAAATGGCGGCGTTTCTCACTGATTCCTGTTTGGCTTTATAAATTACTGGTTCATTAGAATTTGTTCTGTTATTTGACAACAAAGAGATTAAATATATAATAATGATGTTATTAATAATGTTTAATGTTCAATATTGAGTATAGACACTTATGTTTCACATCTATTTGTTAAAAGAATGACAAATGTTGGATTTATTAACTGTATTATGAAAATAACTATTAATGAAGTGTTTGAATTATGTAAACATTATATATGTGGTTTTGGTCTGTCCTGGATTCAGTCAGTGTCCTGGACTATCACTTTCTCATGTTGGATTTTGAGAAATCTGGTGTCTATCTCTGCACATGTCTGAGTGTCTGTAAATCATAATAATATTAAACATTGCTGTTCTTGGTTTAATAGGATGCAGAGGAAATATACACAGAGAATGTGATGCGACTGAGGGCAGAACACAACTCCAAGCACCACAAGTATGTAGAAAGCAGATTATTGCATGTTTGTTGAGAATTGTTTCTGAATATTCATTACAGGGATCATGATGTGGATTATGATCTTAGATGTTCATATAAAAAAAGGGGTTTACAAACATATAGTGTCCAGCATAAATGAGTATAGTGTGTCCCCTTCTGTATTGCAAAAAAATACTAACACTTTAATTAAAAAGTCAACATTTAAAACAGTTAAAGAGTATGCTCATAACATTTTTAGGATGATAAAATCATATATTTAATTTCAGTGAGATATATACATACAGGAAGTTCTTTCATTTGTCCTACCTTCAGTTTCTAAACCATATTTTGGCGTATTTCTGTCTTTAATCCACAGCAAAGTGTGAATGCGAGAGAAAGTGTGAATGCGGGAGAATACATATATTCAAATGCACATGCATGGCTGAGATCGCATCACGTCTGCATCCAGACATTGTTGGGCCTGAGTAAGAGAGAAGCTAACAGTAAGACTGAAAACACCCAAAGACAAGAATAATTATGCAAATAAACCAATTCACTTTAAAGATTCATTTACACAGAAAGCAGTCATTGTAAAAAGAAAAATATATTTGGCATTTCACCTGTTTTAATTGTATTTTTGATCTAATAAGCGCTGCCTTATGGTGAGCAGAAAATATTTTTCCCTCAGAAACAATAAACAAAATATGAATGTTTCCAAGTTTTTGACCATTAGTGTTACATGTTAAGCATTATCTTATTTAAATCATTCATTCATATGTGCAAGGAAAGGAATGCATGGAGTTACTCTCTCAGGGCTTTATAGCAACAGGTGACACATAAAAAATGTATCTAGAAAAATTAATGGTTTAATCTCTGACTTCTGGAGTTTAAAACGCAGACAAGAGAATATACGCTCACCGGCCACTTTATTAGGTACACCTCACCACTACCGGTTAAGGCCCTCTTTTCCCTTCAGAACTGTTGTAATCCTTCATGGCATAGATTCAACAAGGTACTGGATATATTCCTCAGAGATTTTGGTCCATAATGACATGACAGCATCACGCAGTTGCTGCAGATTTGTCGTCTGCACATCCATGATGTTAATCTCCTGTTCCACCACTTCCCAAAGGTGTTTTATTGGATTACGGTCAGGTGACTGTGGAGGCCCTTTGAGTACAGTGAAGTTATTGTCATGTTCAAGAAACCAGTCTAAGCTGATTCACGCTGTATGACATGGCACATTATCCTGCTGGAAGTATTGTGCGCAATAATTGTGCGCAATAATTCTCAGGGAAGCTGTGGCCTTGATACAATGCTCAATTGGTACTAATGGGCCCAAAGTGTGCCAAGAAAATATCCCCCACACCATTACACCACCAGTAGCCTGAACTGTTGATACAGGGCTGGATAGATCCATGCTTTCCTGTTGTTGACCTCAAGTTCTGACCCTACCATCCGAATGTCGCAGCAGAAATCAAGACTCATGCAAATTGTAGCCTCAGTTTCTTGTTCTTAGCTGACAGGAGTGGCACCTTGTGTGGTCTTCTGCTGCTGTAGCCCATCCGCCACAAGGTTGGACATGTTGTGTGTTCAGAGATGCTCTTCTGCAGACCTCTGTTGTAACGAGTGGTTATTTGAGTTACTGTTGCCTTTTTATCAGCTCGAATTAGTCTGGCCATTCCCCTCTGACCTCTGGCATCAACAAGGCATTTACGCCCACAGAACTGCCGCTCACTGGATATTTTCTCTTTTTCAGATCATTCTCTGTGTAACCCTAGAGATGGTCATGCGTGAAAATCTCTGTAGATTAGCAGTTTCTGAAATACTCAGACCTGTCCGGTTGGCACCAACAACCATGCCACTTTCAAAGTCACTTAAATCACCTTTCTTCCCCATTCTGATGCCCAGTTTGAACTTCAGCAGATCGTCTTGACCATGTCTACATGCCTAAATGCATTGAGTTGCTGCCGTGATTAGAAATTTGCGTTAATGAGTAGTTGGACAGGTGTACCTAATGAAGTGGCCGGTGACTGCATATTATCTGATAAAAATTCAAACATGTTTAATAAATGTTACACAATTCCTCATAAATCTTTATTCGATAGTTTTGATAGTTGCCATAATAGTATCTGTGTACATGCTTAATTTTTATCTCTATCATTCAGAAATTTAACAACCTAATTATTGTGTAATACAGTTCGGATGCACTAGAATATTTTTATGCACAATTTTTGAAAATTATAAATGTTTCTAATTGAATAATGAGCATGTGTATTGCAGAGATTTTATTAACACTTTTATTAAACCGTTAACACAAGAGTGAGCTCACAATATTTACATGATAATAAAACACGACACTCAAATTCAACAAGGTATTGTAAATACAATTACACCCCCTTGTAATCTAATCTCAATCTGTTATTTTGCATGCATGGCATCCATGAATTTTCCTGTTAATTAAAATTTTATTTAATGTTTTCTCTTTACACATTCAGTGAGGTGCACTCATTCATCATCTTATTTTATTAAAATAGTTAATAGTTCCAGTTTTGCCAATAAACAGATTTGCAGAAGTATCTATATTTATATAATCAATATAAAACAGTCATTCACAGTTAATCAGCAGTCTGAGATGTTTTAACCGTCTGTTTATTTCTGATGCTGGGATTCTTCTGATGTTTGACACAAATGAGCTGTTTAAAGTTTCTCTCTTTGTTCTGTTTTTTAGCAGACTCAAGCGTATGGAGAACATTAGAAACTGGACACATATACCACATCCACAGCAGACATCTTCAGTGATTTTCATCGCTTGTATTTATTTTCAGAGGAAATGCAGGTAAAAAAAACAACTATTATTGATCTTAGAGTGTGTTCTTGATAAACATTAAAGCATTTCACTTTATTAACACTCCTGATAACACTGACTGTGGCTAATAAAATGAGTAACACATCAAATCAAAAACCAGATTTCTTTGTATTTCCATTGCTTTGACTGAACTTTAAATAGATTTACATTTAGCAGAGGATTTTATCTAAAGCATGAAGATAATAGAAGCACTTAAGATCAACAGAAAACAGCAAGATGTAGATGCAGTGACAAGTCTTAGTTATTTTAGCTGTGTGTATTTTTATTATCTTGAAATAAACAAGGTAGCAGGACAAACAGAATAAACAGTTAAAGAATACATTAGGGAGTGCTATTGTTGGAGTGTCAAAGATATTTGATATGTTTTCAAGGCCTGTGACTAAGATTTCAAGTGAATTTAAACTATTTGGGCTCAAGAAAGTATTAAGTTAGCCACTTTAAGAAAGAATGATTGTGTTTATTTGTACAAAAAGACTCCATGAGCTGTTTTTTACAGTTGATTATTGAATTCCTTTACCTCATTACTTGACAAAAAACATAAAGTGCTGTTTATTTCAGTGTAATCATTGTTTTCATCCGTGCTTTAATATATTTTTCAGGTAATTTTGTATATTTTATGCACTCAACTGTAAAATGTAAGTAAAATGATGAATTCTTTCCAAACAGTGTTACTACAGTTATCTTGTGAAATTATATTCATGTCAAAATATAGAAATAGCAGAAAAACTCAATATTGACATGTCTGTTTTTTCCAGTATCGTGCAGCCCTACCAGAGACTCAGCTGGAGTTAAGCAGGTCATTCCAGCAGGACGGCACATTAAAGGTAAAAGTTCTCGCAATTGATTTTGTACACTTTTAAGCCACAAGCCTGAAATAGTGTGTTTAGGTAAAGGGGTGCAAATAGTGGATAGCTAATGCTTTACAATCATTGAGTCTCATTCACTAAACATACACAAAATTTCATGCATAAAATAGACATTTAAAATAGAGGAATAAATCGTGATTAATCAGGAACTTTTATAATAATATTTATTCTAAATGAACAACAACTTTTACCACATATACGCAATAATCATGTATGACTGGGGCCTTATAAGCATGTTTAAAGAACACTACTTACATTAATTATATACCATATGTTATTTACAGGGAAAAGTAATATAGATCCGCTGACTGTTGATTAGTATTACTT